GCGGCAGCGCCCACACCGAGTATACATCTTTCATGATCTCGTCCTCACCGGCTTCATTGATATGTACGCTCGGAGTTGTTGAAGTGTCCATGACTGCTTAAGATTGTGCGCGTTTCAAGATGGGATAATTATGATTGTACTTCCTAAATTTTGAGTAATGTTATTCAGGAGATAAAAATACAGTTTACGTGGCGTTAATGTGACATTAAATGATAGGTGAAATTCATTTAACCTATCATTTAAATCCACATAGACTGTATTTTCATTATCACTCAGTATGAATAACATTACTCCTAAATTTTTGTTTTTCCTATGGTTCTAAACCTTGTTAGAATAATTCCCTGTACGCGCGAAATGGCCTAGGAATCGGAATATACGAAAGACCGGAATAAATGGATAGGAAACGGAATATGCGGAAATTGGATTGTCGTTCGGTGTATGTATGCTTATTTTGCTATTCATATATATTTTTAAATATTTACGGATCCCATATTTAAAATTGACATAAATCCCCTAAAATTTTAAGATCGACTCTGATGGATTCACATGTAAAAGTACAATTAGTTTATCCATCACTCGTTTTTATATATTTATAAATTATTTCTAAACAAAGGCTTAAATGCATTCATCTAGACCTATATACTTACCAATGTAACATTTTCAGTACCATGATCTCTTCGCAAAGCAGTTGAGAAAAATTTTCATAACTACGTAAAAACAAAGCTAAGCAAAATTTTATGATGCAAAACTTATGTTTATTTGACCATGTGTATACACGTGCATATGGCGGAATCAGTAAATTCGATGATGACCATCTTGACTCAATTGATTTGCTCAGAAAGATTCAGCTTTGTGAATATTGATAAGCAGTACTCTATATTTCATATTGATAGCCAGTCTCCAAATTGAAGTCCAAAGATATTAATATTGCATGTTATGAAACGTCTACGGAATCCATAAGTGCATCCCACACAAAATAGATTACTTCACAAAAATGTTTGTTAACCACAGCGAAATTTTAAAAGCAATATACGAAAATAATATATGTTGACCTCGAAAAGTGACCCTAACACGTGGCCAACAGAATGTAACTCCACATAAGCTCATTCATGTACATTATAACACACTGTTAGTCACTCGTTGCCTTCTTCGGTGAGGATTGAACCGGTCACGAGTACTCCAACAGTCAAGTCAGAGAGATGGTAGACCAGAGTTGAGATAACCGGTGATGGTGGTGATCACGGGAAAATGATTATTAATATAAATGTGTGTAGACAGTGATAATGTAAGAAACTAGTGTTATCTTTTCTCTGGAGATCGATCGAGAGAGAGACCACCCTCCAATGGTGCGAGCATGGGTATTTATAGTAAAATGAGGTGAGAGGAGAACTGTTGGAAGTAGAACACGTGGCTTCGAATCCTGGACATGTCGTTCTTTCATAGGCATCAATCTATAGGTAGACAAATATTTAATGCTTCCTGACATGGTAATGCTTACTTGACGTTTTTTAGTTGCCACACAGGCGCCCCTTCAATCAGTCTTAAGGATTTGATTTTGAGATCTTTACATAAAAGATCTCCTAGTACACAGGGTCGAAGTGGAGTGGTTCGTGGCAGGAGTTGTAGTTGCGTTCTGAGTACCTTATCGCCTCATCACTTCGGAATTGGTTTCAGTTAACTCTATTGATCAATTCATTAGAAGTGTTACGAAGCGATGCAGAGTGCGAGCCTTAGCATCTACTACATGGCAGATGAATCCATTTCGTCTAGCACGTGGCGGATGAATGCAGTTAGTCCACCATCATCCGAAACGCGGCGGATGATGTGGATGCCAGTAACAATAGTCCTTTCCAAGTTCGTGTATGGATATTATATAATGCATGGACTTTGTTGATATGGTCGTGTAAAAAGAGTGGAACTTGTGCGATATGGGCATTAGCGTCAGCCACAAAGCGAAGGGATTGGGGCTCAATAGGAGAGTCGTGATCAGCTGTAGTAGCGGGGCGAAGTTAATCAAACATACCATTTTTTTATTCACAGACTTTATAAAACTCATAATTTACCACACGCTTTCTATCCACCCACATGTTGGAAAGCTTGAGCGAGCGAGCGAGTGAGCGAGAGCTTCATAAATGTTGAAGATAATATGATCTTATATAAAATTGATCTCCCATCTTATGTGACTTAGGAGAGTCTGAGTAACTCGACCTATCAAACTCAAGTTGGAAAAATTATAATACTTCAAAATTAATTAATACGGAACATATCTTGGATTTGAATCTTGAAGCTAAAACTTGAAATCTTTCTAATATTGACTTCTTGTTTTTAATTTTGATTATTTTTTTCTTCAATTTGCATCAATTATTCTTTTTTATTCTTGAATTCTTTTATGCGGGTTTTTTTTATCTTGATTGTGAGTTTTGATCTTTCTCTTCAATATAATTTTTCTTAATTATTTTTGTGTTGATGAGATGACAAAAAGAATAAAAAATCGAATATGAATTGAGGACCATAATCGTATATATAGTTTTCATATGTATTTTAAACCACCATGAAAATACAATAATATTGAATCTAGTCTCTACACAGATAATGATGTCATACTTTATTTAGATGCTTAAAATTCAATTACTTAATTCTTTATTAAGATCATTTTAAATGGGCTTAATTTTAAGATAATTTTATACACAATTAATTAGAGGTTCACATGGCAAATTAATATTTTCCCAACAATCTC